ATTGAATATTCCATTAAGGAAGTTCTTAAAATTGTTTCTTAAGAGCAACAGTGAGGAGGGCAACATTGCCGCTCCGGCCTGAGCTCCATTGCTCTCCTGAGTGTTCAGCTAACAAGGCCTCAGGAAAGAAAGCTAACTTTTTTTTTTCAAGGTTTTATTTTAATTTGAAAGATACTATTGTTTACACAAAACTGTTGCAAGTTCTTGTAAAATATCCCTCTCACATTCCCCCAGGCTGTTGAAAATGAAGGCTTTTGGTTCACCCAAGTGACCAGTCAGCCTGTGTTGGTGCCCTCCAGACAATCCCCAGAAGAAAGGGTGCCCGCTGGCCACAGCTGCCCTCTAGGGCCTGGGTTGGCTGTGCACACAGCCTGCACCCACAGAACCTAACCTTTGCCTAATGGGCATCTGAAAGCTAAGAAAGTTCTTCTATCACTCAGAAAGTGCTTACCCCACCCACCAGGGACCCCTGAGCCAGAGCAGATCATTCAGAGGCTGATTCTGGCTGGGACTCGGGTTTCTTGGGCAGTGAGTTTGCTGTGGTCACCAATTCTCTGGACCCTTCCTTGTCTTCAAGGGAACTTGGCCATGGCTGGTGTTTTCAGCTTCTGCGGGTCAGTGCCTTCATTTCTCGGACGTGTTTCCATATTGCAACCATGGGACTTGTTTATTGGCCACGATGCTGAAAGAGTTTGCAACAGAGTTACAAGAGAACAGCTGGAGTTGGGCAAGGGGGTAGCTCTTCACTCCCACCAGTGGTGGGGATGTCTCTGGCCACTCTTTATCACGGGAGAGCGAGAAGCTGTCTCCGTTATGACATCAGCATGCTGACACTGGAGGGGACTTCTCTCACTCTGGGTTCCTATCAGACCTGTGATAATGAACTTCTCCCTCTTCCCCCATCACATCATGAGCCCTTTGCATCTATATTTTCTTGGACTCTCATCTCCCTCCTGCTTGATGACAAATTCCATGCAGAGCTCATGATGAGGACTGAACTTCACTAATCCAAAACAAATTAGCTGCCTCTTCTGGTTTCCATAACTCCTTTATCTCTCCCATAAATCTAGTTTTAAAATATCAATAATAAATGGAGACATAGCAATTAGGATCTCTGGGTTGAAGTCCTGGATCTGTGTCCTGAACCTCTGGGGCCCTTGCTTTTCTCATCTGTGGGAATTCCAGGATCCTCGGGTTCTAAGCTCAAACACGGCTCTCTTGACGGATGCACAACACCTGGCACTGCTGAGTGGGGTGTGAGCTTAACTCCAAGCCTTCCAAGGGAAGCTTGAGAGAAACTCTGAACACTGACTTCCCACCTGCTATGAACCCTAAGGCCCTACCGAGGGAGGCATTTACTGTACTTCCAGCAAAACTCCCCGTATTACAAGGCTGGTAAGTGGAAAGGCTAGACTTAGAGGCTGCCAGCATGAGGGCCACGTAAACAATGCCTTGCAGTCCTGACTTTGCAGCTGATGCTGACTGTGGACACCACAGAAGAGCTGCATGTCAATGGCCAGCTCCAACTTCAAGGTCAGCCAACAGGCAATTCTGGGTGTGAGTGGTCAGTAGTGCTGACTAGTAGGTGCCACAGCCTCTGGCCCAGCATTCATTCATTCATTCATTCATTCATTCACTCAACAAATCCTTCTTGAGCACTTCTTATATGCCAGGCTCTTTGCCGGACATAGTGGATACATGGTACGCCACAGAGCTGCCCTCAGGGGGGCTGTGGTCTAAGGGCAAGTGTATTAAACAGATAATCATTAAGTGGTCTTCAACTATCATGCTATGAAGGAAAAACAGAGGAAGCCTTGGGAACATATAGTAGAAGAATCTAATTCAGACTGAAAAGAGGAAAATCCTCTGTGAAATATGACAAGTTCGAGTCTCTGCTTCCTGATCTGCAAATGGAGACAATAGCAATTACCTCAAAGGATTGTTTAGGAAGGTTAAATTAGTTAAAAGATATGAAATGATGTGTTTTGTTATTATAATTTTTCAAAAGAGATGGGTGTGATTGAATGTGGGTTTGTAGATTGGAGAAGATGAGGTCATTCTCTTCTTACAGCTTCTGTCTTCTCTATGCAGTGAGGCATGTGCTGAGTGCATGTGTGTTGGAGGTTAGCAGGACAGGCTGACTGCACAGGTATTTCCCCAGCACCTCTGAATTGCATATAAAGAAGAGCAAGTAGGAGAAGGCAGGTTCTCATAATAGCATGAAATTAGTTCACTTTGGTACTAGGAAAGGGCAGGACCACAGCCCCTCCGGATTGCAAATAGACTGTTGGCAGTTCTGGCCCAGGGACCTCTCCTGGCATCAAAGAGGATTTATACTGTGATGGTCCAGCCTTCTTCACTCCGGTCCTCTTCGGCTCTAACACGCCTTCCTGTTTATTTTCTTTCTTTTCCTCGAATTGAATCTACCACTAAACTACATTTCTAACCCTTTTTTATTTTCAGACAGTGTCTCGCTAAGTTGCCTGGGCTGGCCTCAAACTTTCCATCCTCCTGCCTCAGCCTGCTGAATGGCTGGGATTGCACTTATGCGCCACCTTGCTGGCCTCTTCCTGGGTTTTCTGTCAATGGAATGTCTTTCTGTGGTCCTTTCCTGTTGCTTTCACTCAATGATGATATAGCCTGGCCTCTTTCCCTGTAAGAATTTTTCAGGATCTCATTTCTTTATGACTTCATGGGCAGGAAAGGTAATGGAAACACTCTCTTATGCTGGAAAGTTTCCATCTTGTACATTCAAATTACCTGGAGAGCTTTTAAAAATTCCTGCACCCTCAGCTCTAGGCAGAACTTTGCTCTCTTTTTAAGGGTCTCTTTAGGGGACTCTGGCACCTTGGTAAAGTTCACACCTACAATTCCAGGTATATCCTTAAGGTCTCTCTACCTCCATCAAAGTCATCTAGATGGCAGCTGGCTACAGAATAGCTGAATTTTTAAAAAAGTTTCCATTTCTAATTTTAACCTATGATCTGATCAACAGTGACAGTTGTCTAGAAAACAAGCTTATCTCAAAACAAGTATCCCACAGTAAATGCTGCTGAAAGTTGCTTTATACTATCTTAGAATTTTTTAAAAAAAATTAGTTAAAGTTTTCCTTTCTCTCATCTCTCCAATGAAATAATATGAAATTCAACTTTTCATGTATGTAATAAACCATTATGGTTACACACAAAAATAAATAAATAAAAATCCCTGTACCAGGACTGTGCCCCAGGTCATCTGAGGAATGTTCTCTGTGGGGGGGTGGGGGGGTGGTCCTGAAAGCAGTAATTTAGAGAAACTTCCCAGTTGTTCCAGTGTACAGAGAACTGGCTTTGTTTGCTTGTGTCTCTGTTGTTCTGCGTCTGCAAAAGTGAGCAGTTAAAGTGCCTCATCTCCACGAGCACAAGATTAGTTCCTTTCCAGGTTCTCTCCTGCTTCTGCGACATAAGATCACGACAACGCTGTGTGGCTAATTAAGAGCCTGTGCCTGAGTATGACTGAGCCCGAGTGCACTGGAATGAAGTATCAAGGACAGCACCTCTTAAGGGTGGTACTTGGGGTTTCTTCATGAAGGCAAGGTGTCTTATTTAGCACACCCAAAGCAGATCAAACTGCAGAAAGCAAGTAATGAATTTTCTCATGACTTCCATTTGTCAGCTTGTCTGTATGCACACATTAACTACCAAAATTAGTTTGTTGTTGTTTTTTAGTGTTTGCCAGTGGAATAGAACTGACGACTTTTCCAGTGGACAGAACTGCTTATGTGTTACTCGGCTGGCTAAGGGGCTGAGGCTCCCAAGAAATTTTTGTTGCCTGCTAGCTCATCAGTCCAACCCACTCAGCCAGGACTCCTATGAAAAGGCCCCAGGGCTGGACAGTCCAAGGACAGATCTGGTTCAGTCCCCTTCCAATAAATGAGACCGGGTCATGGCCCTCTGCCTGGCCAGATTCTCTCAGTGATTTTATCTTCACATCTTATTTTTCCTCAATTAAGAAATAAACTAAAGAGGCTTAATAATTGATGTCTTCTACCCCAGAAGGCTCAGATTTCTGTGCAGCCAGGGACCTGTATTATGATGGGGTGTGAAAATTTCAAAAAGGGGTTTATCACTGTCCCCTTGCAACCTGCCCTCGGTTGATTTCTACTCTGCAGCCTTCAATCCCATCGTTATTGATATATATAGCACTCTCATGGGTTACTGGGCATGTACCTTTAACATGCAAACCCATATCAAATCCCTTGTACTTTATTGTGGCTGTATTTCTCCTGTGGCTATATCTGTCCTCTGGAGGTATATATATATATAATCTATATGCATGTGTATTTTTTTCTGCTCTGGCCAGGCAGCACGATACATGAGAGCCCCTCACTTGGGAGGAAGGGGAAAAGGGCCAAAACTATGGTGTCCAAATGGGAGCCATTAGCCACATGCGGCTCCTGAAAACTAGAAATGCAACTAGCCCAAACTGAGATGTACTAGAAGTATAAAAAAAGTAAAATATCTCTGGTTAATTCTGTAAGTTTTTTCCATGTTGAGATATTTTGAATACCCACTGTGCTGTTAGTATGATTAATTTCAGTCACTTTTAACCCCCCCCCTTTTTTTTGGTACTAGGAATTGACTTCTACCACTGAGCTACACTCTTAGCCTTTTTTAAACTTTTATTTTGAGACAGAACTTTCACTAAATTGCTGAGGCTGGTCTTGAACTTGCCATCCTCCTGCATCAGCCTCTAGGGACAGTGGGATTGCCATAGCACCCATCTCATTTTATCTTGTAAAAATGTGGCTTCGTAGCCAGACGTGGTGGCACAAGCCTATAATCCCAGTGGCTCAGGAGGCTAAGGCCGGAGAATCTTGAGTTCAAAGCCACCCTCAGCAAAAGCAAAGCTCTAAGCAATTCAATGAGACCCTGTCTCTAAATAAAATACAAAATAGGTCTGGGAATGTGGCTTAGTGGTTGAGTGCCCCTGAGTTCAATTCCCAGTATCCCCCCCACCCACCCCGCTCAAATGTGGCTTCCTAGCAAATTTAAAGCATGCGCATGACTTGCCTGTGTGACTCACACTCTTACTCCTACTGAATGGGGCTGGCTGAAGGCAGAGCTGTCTTTACGTTCTGTGGACCACGCTGGTTAGTGCTTTGTCTGAGACCAGTATTCCTCTCCTTTACTTCTCAGCCCTCCTCCTACCTGTTACCTCCCTGAGAGTTGCTTGCTGTCATTTCACAAATGACACTGTTCCCCCAGAGGAGGCAAGAGCACTGCCTAAGGCCACAGGGGAGCTCCATCAGTCCCCAGCAGATCTTCACGCACTGAGCACAGAACCCTTGCAGAGCCCAGAGAAGAGCGTATCTGGAAGGAGGCGGGACGGCTCTCACCTAAAGGGAACCTAACAAAAAAGGTCCCAATGGTTCAAGGGAGTTTCTAATGCCAGCTTCTAATTATAAGGAAGTAGGCGAAACTCCTATAAATAAATTGTCGTTACAAAACCACCAGGAAGTGAGCCAGTGGTTGGGGCTCTCTGTTCGTTATTTGTGATTCTGGAATTCCCAGATGGCCAGATTACCAGTTTGAGGGAACCGAAGGATGTTTTCTTTATGAGCGAGTCTGCTCAGAAGTGGCTGCACTGATACTGAAGATAAATCATCCTGAGATGGTTGGGGTAGAGATGGTCCAACAGTCCTGTCCTAAGCACCAGGGCCCAGCCCACAGAGCCACACCAATCCACTCTTACCCAATCGGGACAATGGCCAGGAAGGAGAGGAAGGAGGAGAGAACAAAGCAGGTGCCCAGGAACTTGTCCATGGTAAGCTGATAGAGGTTGTTATACACGGTGGATGTCACCACGCCGGTCAGAGCCAGGGACAGCTGCAGTATGACGAACACCTTTCCTGTGGAGGGACAGAGGTTACCAAGAAATGTGCTGTTGTTCCCTCTAGCTGCATCTCTGGGGAGCTCTCGGGGACCCCTTTGCTCTCCCAGAGACCCCTTTTCAGTCTCCAAGGCTCACCTCATCAGGAATCCCACCTCCCTCTAGCTGAATTTTCCCGAAACCTATTGACGACAGGGTCTTTCTTCATAGCTTTTCAGTGACTGACTTTCTGAGACTTTCCCACCCTCCGGTCTTCACTCCTGTCCTGGATGGAAACCACTATGTTCCTAATGTACTTGAGGATGCTTCTGGAACTTTCCCCAATGTCTTCTGCAAGCCGGTGCTTCCAGCTAAACAGCTCTGAAACAGCCCTAGCAGAAGATTCTGGAGCGGTTTCTTTCACTTACCGTAAGAGGAGCCATTGATGAGTTTGGACATGGCTGAACGGATGGTCGTGATGGGGATGAGGGCGAACAGCATGACGGCACGGGCTGTAAGAGATCACACACAGCACTCCTCACTGTGGCCCAGCACTGGCCAAGGAAGAGATCAGAATAAGGCAAAAAC